TTGTTTCCGGATGATATAGGAATTAGATATCATATATTGTTTAGTATATGCAGACCTCGTTTTGAGTTGCTTTTGGGCGCCATGTGTCAAGGTCACTGTACTTTAAGTAGAAAAGCCTTTTCGATAAATAGTGTTAAGAATGACGTATAGTTATCAAGCTTGTATTGAAACCTGGCTCTTATTACTTTTGCACCCTCTCCCCCACCAAACAGTGTGAAGATCGCCGTTTCTAAAAAAGAAAATAGTGAATCAATGGATGTAAAAAAATGTTGCTCACAGGACTGTTACGTGTAACAATATATAAATAACACATGGGTTTGTGGGTTGCAGTAAAATATCATCCCGAGGAAAATACGCCTCGGGTAACAGTATTTTTACGAGGGATGATATTTTACTGTTACACACAAACCTATGTGCTATTTATTTTATTACCCCGAACAAATACTGTGATGATCTAAATTTGTTAACTTAATCTAACTGTTACAAAAATAAACAAAGAGTAGCAATAACTAAACTGTCCTTACCTTGCAAGTTTTAAGTGTACTTTAGGCCTACTTGTTTTTCTTTATTCTTTAAGCAAGTGATGATATCTACCAGTCATAAACATGCAATAAGCTGTGTTTTATTTAGAAAACAAAACACTAACTCATTTATAAGGCTATGATCTGTGAAATCTGATCCTTCTGTATGCACGGTTTTTGACAAAGTGTATTTACAAAATAAGATGATATCCTACAAATGTCTGTCCACCAACTCTATCTGTAACATTTCACTTGTTAAAATTAACCGTCTTAAATCGTCTGCATGTTCCAGTTTGACACAACATTATTTACATTACAATTACTTCCGTTGAAAACGGATGTTTACTTTTTGATTATTCAACAAAAAGATATTTTATACGCGAAAAGAACTCTAGGGTGCAAAGAACTAAATTCTATGAGAGTCATGGTTAATTTGGTGATGCCCTAGGCCCTATAAAAATGAATCGAGAGAAAAATGGCGGCCATTTTATTTCATTTTGATTAGAAAATAGACCACCTGACCAGATTTTATACTGTTATAAAATACTGTAACATATATAACAGTACAAAATTCTTAGTCACGTGGTACACTTGAATTAACAGTAAGAATAACTCCTAGAGGCCTATGGGAAATTGACATTACCAAAAAAAAGTGAGGGGTAATAACATAAAATACAAGGCGAGTTCAAGTTTGGCTTCAGACCAAAATGTTAAACTCATTTACAAAAAAAAGAAATGAATGTAATGATGATGATTTTACTTATTCGCTACAAATTAATGCACCGTACAACACATGAAAATTCTGTATGCCGGTTCAAGCAAAATTCAAAATGATGTTCACTTACTTGAATATCTCTATAATTCCTATTTTTACATGTAAGACTGTAGAACATATATTTATTTACAAGAAAACTTAATTTTTTATAGGGTCATACCAGGAGACAGGCTACGGTTCAAATTCCGAATTGGTTTCTTCACATGAAAACAATCGTCAAAGATGTAATACAGAGGTACAAAGTAGCAACATGCAGACAAGTTACCGTCTGAATGCCATGGAAACAATGAACTATCCAAAACATCTAGATTATGTCAATCTCCAACATAGATTAGACTCCTATAGCAACTGGCAAAATGATCAGTCGATACAACCAAGAGCTCTTGCAGAAGCAGGTTTCTACTACGCAGGTTTTTTTGTTTTTTTTATAGAATTTTACTTTTTCACTTCACGAGAATGAATCAAATTTATTCTACTAATATATCGGAAACATTGTACTGAATGAAACTGAATAAAATTTCTGGGGATATCCATACACATCAATAAAAAGGTGTCTCACAGTCTGATTTTCTCGGATTCACATCGTCTCTTTATTACAGATAATAAGTTGAAATGTTTAATGTGTGAACATGTATCAATAATACAAAAGGTACCACTTGTGTATATATCAGCACATTATATGTATCTTGATTGAACATTCAAGTTCATCATTATGATGCACATGGCTAGTAAAATAGTATGTAATTGAAAAGGAAGTTATTTTCTTTATTTGTAGGGTTTGGTGATTGTGTACGTTGTTACTTTTGTGATTGTGGTTTACAAAATTGGAAGGAGGGTAATTAAATTTGCTTTACTTAAGATCATGTTTATATTTATCTTTGGTGTAAATAGGGTATATCAGGCTACAGAATATAACTATTTATTTTAAATTTTGTTGTTCTACAGGAATCTCCTTTTTAGTTAGAAATATAGATGTTTTAAGAATTAAACCAGTACTTAATCAAGATAAGTTTTCCTCGGGGTCAATTCCAATACCTGAAGTGTTGATGAATTTATTTGTTACAGAAAAATATGTTTTGTAGAAGAACTCTTTACTATAATATATTTCCTGTGACAAGAAAAAGTTAAGCGTTGCCCCGGCTCGGCGGTGGAATATTCTTATTGGTGTGTTTGACTTTAGAAATAAGAAAAAGTCGAGCGTTGGCCCGGCTTTGCGGTGGAATATTCTTCCTCTGATATATTTGACTTAAGAAATAAGGAAAGGGTCGAGCGTTGTCCCGGTTGTTACGTTGTTGTCATTACTCTAATGACATCTTTCCTAGTCAGAAGTCTCTTTAATTTCTCACAGGAGATGATCTATTGAAGGAACATTTACGATGGTTTCCACATTGTACAGGTAGGCAATCCTTTTGGGAGCGAAAGGCTTTATTTTTTAAATTATGATAGCATACCTTATATCTAACTATTTATTCGCATTTATGATGGAATTATTTTGCATTTTTAAAGTATTTGAAGTGTTTTTAAAACTCTTTGATTGAAAATTATCATGCTGTTTTTTGCTTGATTTGTTGTGGTTATTTTTTTTTCAATTTAGTTCTGTTTGAGAATCAAAATCATACGTTATTTTATATATGTTCTCATGCTAAAAAGTGCAATAATTCAAGAAGTGTTTAAAATTGTACAGGTATTATTTAATACATAAGACAGTGGTGATTGTAGGTGGAGAGAGAACAGACTCAAAGAAAGACCGCGGATGTAGGAGTGATGGGTTAGTATGGATAATAATTATTCTGCCATTCTGAATGCTAAAATATATGATGAAAAACCTTTATAAATATTAAGATCAAAACATAAAATACAATTGTTATATATATATATATTCTGGGTGCTAAAATATTATGATGCAAAAACACCGTTCACAGAACACATCTTTAACTTAACTTCATTCACGCTAAAAAAAACTTGCACATAGGAACTGTTGGGTTCCGGACAGGAAACTTTCATTGATATATTGTTTCTGTAGCATTGAACTTCTTATTGCAAATGCCTAGAACAAATAGTAGTAAATATTAAGATTAAACTATAAAATACAATTGTTATATGTGTGAAAGGTAGTATTTGCATATAATTTAGACTATTTGAAATCAAGATTGTATCAGTGATCCTCTGATAGGGAAGTGTCTGTTAGATTGGTATATATACATCTTTATTGCCTCCGAATGTTCGAAGATATACATATTACATAACACAGTCAATGAAAAGAAACAACATTAAGCAAAGAAAAGCATCATAATTATACAAAAAAGAACAATTTCAAAGATGTAAAATTATATATATTACATAAGACAATATTTGAAGAGAAGTGACGTTAATCATATCAGCACATCATATTAGTGCAAGAAGATACACAACTACATGTAACATCTTACGCAAAAATAGCACATTCAGCTGCATACATACATGTATTTAACATTTATTTGCTTTTACGTGTTTTTTTCGTTTTTTAAGTTATCATGTACATAACGTTTGGACCATACAATGAAGAAGACGGAATCTAATAGACATTGAAAGCAAACCTTACATATAGAAAGGTTAAAAATGCATAAAATGTCAGTAGTTCCTTTAGCTTTTGCAAGACATTATTTAACATTTTTAAACATTGTTAAATGCGAAATCGAAATTTTAACAAATATAAATGAAATAGTGACTTTCTTAACATTCCTTTTACATTTCTTTCTTGTCTATGTAATAAATTCATTCAAATAATTACTTTATTTAAATAATGATAACAAGAACTTTGCACATATGGCCATGAAATCTGGGTACTTATCAGCGGATAATACGTTAATAAGATTGATATTTACATATCCTAATGTGTACGTAATAAATATCTCTGTAGGAATTGCCTGCAAAAATCTACTAAGAGTGCTATTGAACTGATTTTCTAGGCAATCAAAGAATGTTGCCATTTTCTTTAGTTCTTTGTTCACCTCACAGTAAAACATCAGATGGTAGAGTTCATGTGTACATTCATTAAAACACTTTTGACAAATTATAGTTTGATCATGCTTAACTTTACAATTAAGTTGCGCAACAAATCGCATAAGAGTCAGTAAGTCTGGTCTTTCTTGTGCTACTCTCCATACATTGGACATAGTCAATTCACTATTAATCTCTCTAAAGTGTTGAAGGTCATTGTTTCTCTGTACGCGTACTTTCCATTGATTTTAATTTGATTCGGAAATATTCATATATTTGGTATCACTATATATCAGCAGCAGAAATCATGTAAAATTATGTAAGTCAAGGCATATGATTAATAAGAAATTTGGTGCTTGTATTTTAACAGATCCTATGACAAGAAGAATAATACAAGCTATGGAGGATATGGGGTTTAAATCTGATGTCGCGAAGCATGCGGTTATGGCAGTAAAAAATCAAACTTCTGGTATGCACAATTTATGAATTCTGTTGCACTATTTGAATGCACATTTGGTATATGTTGTATTTAAAGTCTATGATAATATTGGATGATATACATTATTGCAGTTTAAGACTATTATATTATTTGCGTTTCAATTTGACAATATATATATTTCATATATATAAATTTTCTTTGTATTTTCTTGTATTGTAGGGCAGTATGATGTGATGCTCAATGAAGCAGTTACCTGGGCTTTAGATCAAGAAAGTAATAACAGAGGTTAGTGTTGACACGAAGGAATTACGCAAAACAAACATTGTTTAAATTTAATTCTATCTATATTTTTTTTAATAACAAATATATTACATTATTGTACATGGATCCTTTACGCCATGTTTACGAAGTAACACCATTTTCGTGAATGGTGCACGGAAGCAACGCCGGTTAACTCATGAAAAAGTATCTGAATCACGTTTTATCTGCTTCCTTTTACTATAACATGTATACGATTTTATTTGCTCATACAGGATGTATCCTAATTCGATTGTGTAGGATAGAATATAACTTATAGACACACTACTCTGGTCCGTTCCTGTAACCAATCTGTACTTGGGTGCAGCAATGGGTGTAAAGTTTCTTGCTTAAAGAAAATATGGCTCGCTCCTGACAGGGTATTTAACCAACGATTCTAGATTACTAGTCCGACGCGTCATACCGCCACTATACTTTTTGTTTTGAAAATTTTATAAGGAATGCGGGATATGAAAACTAAAACGTTTAATTGCCTTTTTGTACCTATCAAAATATCGACAGAAGCCGCTTTAAAACGTAGTAAGGTCGTCATTCTCATGAGAAAACACATCTAATGCTGTTTAAAGTATAAAGCAGGCTGTATAGCGTCCAGCGTCCCTAAAATTCCTAAAAAATCCTAATTTTTTTCAGTTTGGCTAAAATTCCTAAAAAAAATGAAAAATTCAAAGGGAATTCCTAAAAAAGCCCTATTTTTTCACTTAAATTCCTAATTTTTTTATCTTTTGTGATAAACATATCGCGAAACAACCATGTTTCAATCACAACCTAAATTCGAACACAGTCAGTGGAGCTGATGTCATGTCTGACTAAATTGCATAAAGTCACATGTTGTATTTACTTCAACTCCTGCAGAAACGCCATACTTGATTAATTACCAGATGTCAGAAATAATAAGAAACTGTTTGTTTTAAATGGAACAATGAAAATTGTCTGACTGACTATATCAAAAAAGTCACCAGTGTTTAAAATTGTGATAAAAAAAATTCCAAGGTTACATTTTTCTTGGCTACAGAGTTTTACCATTTACCTCAGTCTTAGGTGTATTTAAAGTAACTATTTACATGATGAACCACTAAATTTCATCAAACTTTATGTAGGGGTCCTTATTAATAAAATCTTAATTTGTAATCAAGTTATCTGTAGAACGTGATGCCAGCTGGCAGATCTAGACAAGTTTCCATTGCTAATTATAAAGTGGGTAAGGTAAACTGGCAGTAGTGATTGGATGCTTTAACCATATTGCTACCCAATTAGGGTATTAGAAGTGACACCTTCAGCTGCCTTTTTTGTACACATTAACAATAATACTGAACATGTGTTATAACATAAAGTGTAAGTTTTTTAAAATCTGGAAAAAAACTGTTGAAAATCATTGAAAAAACTGACACTGTTGTGAAATTTTCTACAATTTTAGCCTGATTTATCTTGAACAAATTCTTCATAGGTGTATACCCTGCTGTATAATTTAAGTTTTAATATTCCTGGGAATGACTTAAGTGGGTCATATTGTTTTTTATTGTTTTTTAAGAAAGATCAAGACTTGTTGAAAATGAACCAACCTTAAAATGAATAAAGGTTGATAATAAATGCATTTATATAAAGCAAAAATAAATCTAGAGCATAATTTCCCCTTCAATTTATTAATCAAAGCTTAACTAATTGAATATTGATTATTCCGGAACTTTGAAAATGTTTTCATTCTAGTTATGTTTTAATGTAGTTTTTCAGCTCTTTTTAAAGGCAGTTGACCAGTGAATCCATTTCTTCACTCGTGACTATGGAACACTGGTAACACCTTTGCTGTAACCAAACTAGAGCATTATTTGTGAGTTAATATTTGTCAAATATGCAAAGTTGAGCCCATATCATGGTCTTTTGAGGCCATAATTTAGTAATGAAATTCCAAATTTTAGCCCTAAAATTTCTTAAAAATTGCCCTAAAATTTGCCCTAATTTTTTGTCAGAAGGTGCTGGACAGCCTGTATAAAGTTATAACAGCCGTATGCGCTTATCCTTTTTTCAATTTGATTTGTAACTATAAAAAATACTTTGGCCCGTTTAATAAACGTGCATAGTTTTGCACAGAATCGATGTTGCTTTTGCATCATTCCTGCGTATTCTCAGATTCTTGAGTTATTTGGTATAAACGTTACTAATATTTTCCATTCTTGTACTACAAAATCTTAAATTGCTTTCGGACATCTCTATTTTATTTTCTATAATAGGTATTTGTAGTTATACTACATTGTATATATGAATAAGATTGTTTATTCCAAATCTAATTTGTACATCTGACCAAATATTTTGAACACAAGCTGTCTTCCAAACTTCAGACGACCAGACTCAGCCGCAGGCATGTGTCCCATTAGAATCTTCAGACGCTGTTGCGGGAGCTACCGGGTCTTCAACATCAACCAACTGTCAAGGTATAGTTCACATCTCAATAGTCAAATTATATTTTATGTATTTTTCTTCTTAATTACGTTCAGAATATATTCTTACAAGAAAACATATTGGTACATGTATCATTTTTAGCATACAAATATTAAACCAGTATGTTTTTGTTTGTTTTGTTTTTATATACGTACATTTTTTGCAGATGTTGCGTGTTTAAAAGCAGAAAACCAGCAGCTTAGAGAGTTGCTCAGATGTAAAATATGTTTGGATAGGCAGATGGAAGTTACCTTCTTACCATGCGGTCATCTAGTTTGCTGTTTTGTATGTGCAGCTAACATACACAAGTGTCCTTTCTGTAGGAAAGAGATAAGTGGCACTACCAATACAGGTATACCACATTGATAACAAACGAGAGAAAACTCAGCATGGCAAACCCCGTGGTGAAGAAATTGATAGTAAGACTCCTTTGCAGGGAAGCGTGAACAATGTTGCAGCTTACATTCAGACTGTCTTCAAGACAGTTGTTCCATTGTTCACAAGGGGTCTCCGTTTTCCAGATTTTCATATTCACGAATTGAGATATTTGAAAAAGATTGAAGGCGAATTACATTACATACTGAAGCTCTATGAACACCAAGTCTTGGAAAGGGTCCTTTCAACAAAGGCAGCTAAATGCTTAGTTTTAGCGAGAGAAAATTGCAGTTTGAAGCTATTTCGGTAAATAATTACTGTAACAAATCAATATATTCTGCAATAAATTGCTTATTGAAAAAGGTGTTCCGGTATTATCATGAAACTACAAAGGATATATTTGTAAAATAAATTGTTAACTTGTTTTGTTTTGTCAGTTGCGCCAGATTTTGTGTATTTGGTGATCACAATTTGGCGTTGAGATTAATTCCGTATACGCCCAACCTTTAGGATGAATCATTGGTTCTGAGAGGCTCTGCGAGAACAAAGAAATTAAACTGTTTTTGGTGTTTTCTAAGAGACCGACAATTATGAAAGCATATTTTGACTTTAAAAACCTGGAACACAGAACTTCATAGGCATTTCATGCCTTAGTCTAAGCATTTCATCGACAACATTGTTACACAAACCAATTTTCAATTTATTCAACTCTGTTATATATAAACCAGACAAGTTTGTAAGACGACTAAGGCCAACATAATGCATGTGATTAACCTTTCTATGACCAAAATGCAAAATTGCCTTTTGCAATGTAGATCCCTGAGATTTATGAATTGTTTTGGCTGCTGCTAAATTTAGAGGAAATTGCCTTCTTGCGATTAAATATGTTTTAAAAAACTGTATGGTAAATTTCCTAGAGGTTTCAAAAACTGGTGTCCATGATAGTGGAATATCATTGTTATATAAATGCTTGTACTTTGTTCTACACCTTTGACCAATGCTAGTACTTATAAACTCAACCCAAACAATACTGCAACGCTCAGAATTTTCTACTCTATAATCAAATTTCTTCATAAAAAATCAAAAACAAAAAAAAACATAATCACACCGAGTCTTCAATTTGCACCTTCTGGCAGTTGTTCCATTGTTCACAAGGGGTCTCAGTTTTCAAGATTTTAAATTCACGAATTGAGATATTTAAAATTTGAAGGTTTGTGCACGATGTCGAATTACATTGCATTCTGAAGCTCTATGAACACCAAGTCTTATAAAGGGTCCTACAAAGGCAGCAAAATGCTTAGTATAAGCGATGGAAAATGGCAGCTTGGATTTACTTAAATTTTGTTTTATACATTGATTTCTGCAGGGAAGTATACATGGACATGTACAACACTATCGCAAATAGCAAATACGTGTGAAACCCAAAAATGCAACTAAAATAGACTTATAATAATTAAGAAGCGTGTTCTGTGCTACCCTAGGATTGCCCATTAAGCTTAAATCTTTTTTCCAATGGGATTCAATGTAAAGGAAAATTAATAATATATACTTACACATATTAATATTGATTGTAGTCATTAGCATAATATACATGATATTCATATGTAACTTTTCTTTGTAAACTCAACTCTTTCTTTACTATAGCTATTTCGGTAAATATCTGTTGTAACAAATCAATATATTCTGCAATAAATTGCTTATTGAAAAATGTTTTCCTGTATTATCAAGAAACAAATTTTTCTGCGTTCATCAACATCAAAGGATATATTTGTAAAATAAAACGAAACTTCAATTTGTTAACTTGATTTGTTTTGTCAGTTGCGCCAGACTTTGTGTAACGTACAAAAATGATAGACTGGTTTTGTTTTGGGAAAATGTTCATCCTAACGGCATTTTTTTAGTACAAGCGGGTAGTTGGGCTCACTTACCTATTTAGAGTACGCTGAATCTCTACCACGGCTGTACTTTTAGAAAATCAATTTCAAAATGGCCGTCATTGAATTTTTTAATTTTTCTTTATTTCTCCCATGGACGAGATAAAAACACTTCTTTTGCGTTTTTATTTAAAGCTTTGTTAATTTTAGTCCGTTGAAGTGTGAACGGGAAGAATAGATGCAAAAAAAATATTGCGGCAGCTATCCTGTATTTCGAAATGGCTATATATATGTTTCTATACACTTTATCATTTTAAAGTAAACACGCGCAAGAAGGCATTTTCTTTTATCATAAGTGTAATGATTCTAATTGAGTCTTACAAGTGCAGACTTAAAAAAGCATCCTTTGAAACTACAAACTTTATGACTTTATGGTGCAAAACGATCACAAATTATACTGTAATACAATGTTAATGAGAATCAAATTTGCGTAGATGTTATTTTCATACTTCTAAGAATACAATACATGTTCTTTAAAACTATTGCGATGTTGTTTTTTTTAATTGGTTTTGTATTGCCCTGAAAGGTGATCTGCTCAAATGTCTGTCCGTCCGTCTATCCATCCAAACGTGTCATGTGTCAGTTAAGTGTATTTGGTGATCACAATTTGGCGTTGAGATTAATTCCGTATACGCCCAACCTTTAGGATGAATCATTGGTTCTGAGAGGCTCTGCGAGAACAAAGAAATTAAACTGTTTTTGGTGTTTTCTAAGAGACCGACAATTATGAAAGCATATTTTGACTTTAAAAGCAGGAATCTTTGTTAAATATGGAACACAGAACTTAATAGGCATTCATGCCTTAGTCCTGGCATCTCATCAACAACCAATTCAAACCCAAACAATACTGCAACGCTCAGAATTTTCTACTCTATAATCAAATTTCTTCATAAAATATCAGAAACAAAAACAAACAAAAAGACATGCGGCATTATTTTTAGACCATCAGCGGTATTAATATTTGCAAAAACTCGGCAGACTCCCTAACTCCATTCTTTTTGTATCGCCATTATTTTGCTAGGATCAGTTCGGAATCTATTATGAAGAGAAGTATGCAATGAATCACTTAAATTGCCAGAGACAATATCAATTGCTTCTATAATCACTTTATCTACCTCTGGTATACTTAAGAGAATATTCCTGTTATGAGCAAACACTGGATCTCTATTACAAAACAGATGTAGCATTTCTCTTTGGGCTTCCTGGGAAATGGACAGATTAGAAAGCAATCTTGATTCAAGTGTACAAAGATCTTCATCAGTATGATTTCCCTCCCTTAATCTATTCAATAAAGCAAAATACTTTTTGTATGCCTAAATTAGTTATATGAGGTATTTTTTGTGAAAAAAAACCAAGAATCTTTAAGAGATGGAAGCTGGAATAGGTCACCAAATGCCAGTACACTCACTCCCCCAAATGGCTTACTTGAACCCATTATTTCTTGGAGACGCAAGTTTATGAAATTGAAAAGACCCCTACCAACCATTGAAATTTCATCAATATAAACCATTTTCAAACAGTGATATTTGCACCTCATAGAATTTAATTGTTGCATATCAAGTGGCTTAAATGCATATGACTGATTGGCTGGCTAGATAAAATGTTGCATGAATGGTACCACCTATTTCATGAGTGAAATGTTGGAAAGGTGCTCTCTGGCCAAGCTCTCAAAGCATAATATAGTCTCCTGTCATTATTAAGTAGAGTAAATCTTTTATATTAAAGCTAACCTTTCACTATTTGACTCTATGGTCCAACCTATTTTATTGTACGCCTCGAAGATTTGGGACATTTATGAATTTAAGTAAATAAATAAACTACATATAAAATTTTGTAAACATATTCTTCAAACAAAGATTTAAACACAGACGGATTACTCCCTTACATCCTGAAGCAAATGGAATCGCAAAACGTTTCATGAAAACGCTGACAAAAACTGTTTCGCATGTTCAAGGACAAAGCTTGAAAAAAGAACTCAACGCGTTCCGAATGAATGATCGTTACGTTCCTCATAATATTATATAGTAGTACGGGTGTTCCGCCAAGTACTTTAATGTTTGGTAGAACTATTCGCACCAAGTTACCAGAATTTCTGCCAGGGAAACAAGACAAATACGTAAGAAGACGCGACTAAAATTTACCAACAAAATACAAACTGTACTCCAACATATGTCGATTTTCTGTAAATAGTCATTTTAAGTCTTTTTTTCGTACAAAGGAAAAAGAACGAAGATTAAAAGTATATATTTGAAACAGATTCTACAATAAACTAGCTTCCAGTCGACTAAAACTTTAAGTTTAATCGAAAATTTCTGTACACAGTATCCAGAATCAAAATCGCATTCAAAGCGAAATACTGACGAGAAAGGGAATAGTTGTGTCAAGGCATTTGAAATACAAAAAACTAGAAGTAAGGACATGTTCTTGCAAAAAAAATTAAATTCAAATCTATTCTGGTTGTTTTACATGACACGTTTTGTTCAAAATAACGGTTGATAAAGTGTCCGCGGTATCAGAATTTCGGTGATGCGCGCGCATAGTATGACCCCCTTGTAATACATGTACAATATCTAATTCTTTTTACAAATAAAAAAAACTGTTAAGAAATTTTATGGAGGCTGATTTGTGCCTTAATGATCAAAATTATTTTTTGTCCAAACACATTGCAGTATTTTTCAAATTCGTCGTCTAACCAGTCTAACTGATTTCAATAATGCATTATATTAGAGACGAGTTAGAGGTGTGGTTTGCACTCTGAAGGTACGGCATAAGCGGGTATAAATCAAAGCACAGAAGGCGCTGAATTTGTTTGGGTCTCAGAATAGATGGTGATATTATAAACCAATTTGTTTTTGTATAGTGCTACCAATGCTTTCCAGCGTTTTAATTGTAGTAAATTGGCTACAACACTAATTGCAACACTGATATTCAATTCAATGTTTATTTGACTTACATAATTTAAAAAAAAAATGAGTTGCCTTTACTGGGATTTGAACTCCTGACCTCTCGCTTCCTAAGCGAGCGCGCAAACCACTCGCCCACGGTGAAGTTATATGATAACGGCTTGAAGAAAACCATATTATTCTAAATTAGGGTTTGTAACGACGCTAACTGTTGTTTAACACAGATGTAAATAATCATAATAAGCATGTAAATCTATAAAGAATAAAACAATATTAGAAATCTTCGACCATTTGGGAACTAGTTTGCTTGAAAATAAATGCGCCTGTCATTTGACCATCATTACGCAGTGATCTCCCCTGAATTTTTCGGCGTTAGTGTACATATAAAGAGAAGTAACCGCTTCAAAAAGCGGACTACTTTCGGCATTTGCAATTAACAGCATCAGAGTCTGAAATTTCGCTACCATTATTTGTTTGGTCTGACGACCCAAACAAATAAAAACTACCACAAAAATAAATCAAAGGGCTGCAAGCTCTGTGGTATTGTCTGATCTTTCAATCTAAATCGTACTGTATATCTGTATGTATTTTCCTGTATAAGTTTATTTTTATCAGGACACCGAGATGTAGCGAATGCGTTTAGATTTTTTACTATAACAGTTTGATACATACGGAATTTTGCATGACTAGAGTTGCATCAAAAAATCATTTATGCTCATTTTATTATGACAGCAACACTTTACCCTTGCATATCGTGACTTCTTCTTTAAAACAGACACACAAAAAATAAAATAAAAAATAAACAAGAATCAGTTCAACCGAATGATGCTCCCCGAGAAGGTTTTGGTGTCGTATTATACTGTTTACACATCGTATTAATATAAATGACAAGTCGACATGTATATACATATATTAAGGTTTTTATTTCGTATATAAAAAGGGTGTACATAGTTCATACGTCAAAAATGATAGATAATGTATTTGGGAGTCGGCTAGATTTCGTAACATTTTATGTGAAAGCTGTCATTATAAATACTGCGCTAGAGGTCCATTCTGGATAGTTCGAATTTGGTACTTGACCTGTACACTTGTGTATCAGTAATAAAGTATGAAACATCTGTGAGTTTTCTTTCCGTAATACGACAACGGTTGATTTGGCACCTAAGACCAGCGATGTCGAAGCGACGATTTTGGACAGTGGGACACAACGAAGTACCTGAAACAGAAAATTAAAAGTGAGTGATCGTTTATATACCTGTAATTTGCTAATTTTGAAGATGTCAGATCAAGAAATAGCTACAAGTTTTGAAAATTTATCAGATAAATTGGAAAATATTTCAACTGTCATAGATACACAGGGTTTATCAGAAATAGTACAAAATGTTGATGGCATTTCTAAATATTTTAATGACTGGATAAAATCTATAGAAAAATATGCTGTTTTAAAAAGTTTGAATGATAATAAAATAAAATTAGTCGCATTTCAATGAAGTAAAGGGACTGTAAGCGATTTCATATGTAGATATTTGCGTGATAATCCTCGTAATTCGTGGGAACAATTAAAAGAAGAAATAAGTACTAGATTTGGCAAAATTAAAGATTAACAACATGAATTTTATCTTTTGAGAAATTTAAAACAAGTTTCGGGAGAAAGTGTTCAAATTTTTGGTAAGAAACTTATTAATTGTGCTGAAACCGCTTATGAAAATTATAAACTAGGAGATAACAGTTTAATTGAACTTCAATTAGTGAAATTGTTTACGGATAATTTAGCGCATAATTATTTAAAACTTAAACTTATGAGAGAAAAGCAAAAAACTTTACAAGAAGCAATTACTTGCGCAATGAATGAACAGAATTTCACAGCTAGATTTT